AAAAAAAAAAAAAAAATTAACCCAAGATGAATTAAAGACGTAAATGTAAGACCTCAAACTATAAAAATCTTAGAAAAAGGCTGAGCGCGGTGGCTCACACTTGTAATCTCAGCACTTTGGGAGGCGGAGTCAGGTGGATCACTAGGTCAGGAGATTGAGACCAGCCTGACCAACATGGCGAAACCCCTTCTCTTCTAAAACAAAAACAAAAACAAAAACAAAAAATTAGCCAGGTGTGGTGATACATGCCTGTAATCACAGTTACTCAGGAGGCTGAAGCAGAAGAATCACTTGAACTCGGGAGGTGGAGGTTGCGGTGAGCGGAGATTGCGCCATTGCACTCCAGCCCGGGGGACAGAGCGAGACTCTGTCTCAAAAAAATAAGAAAATCTTAGAAAAAAACCTGGGAAATATGAAATACTCTACTGGACATTCATCTATGCAAATAATTTATGACTAAATTCTGAAAAGCAAATGCAACCAAACCAGAAATTGACAATTGCGATCTAATTAAATGGAGCTCCTACACAGCAAAAGAAGCCATCAACACAGTAAACAGACAAGCTCCCTTTTCTAAGATGCTCTTGTCACCCTCCTGTTTTTCTCTGGACCTTCCCTGCCCTTCTGGTGCCAGTCCTTCTCTATTCCTAGTGATCTCATCCTCACATCTCCCTCCTTCCTCCCTGTGTTGTCTTACCAGTTGGTACCTCCTAACTTCTCTCTTTCCCTCTCAGCAGTCCCCGTTTGTGGATTTAGAGTCTGGCTTGAGAAGTTTGCAGCTTGGACCCGGATCCCCCTCATCATCAAGAAGCAACTTGAGATGACTGTCCCTGGGGCATGTCATCGGGTCATCGCCTGCTGGCCCTGTGAGCAAGCACCAAGCTCCACAGTGCCTGTTCCTTGCCCCAGACCTGGCCTTACCCAAGTACAGAAGAGCTTTCTTTCCTCCTTCTTCCATTTTGCTTTTCTAAGCGGGTGAATAATTTTATAATTGAAAAAAATAAAGATAATTTTAAAGTCTGTAAATCTGGCCACCAGGTGCAGTGGCTCACACCTGTCATCCTAGCAGATTCGGAGGGTGGGGCGGATGGATCACCTGAGGTCAGGAGTTCGAGACCAACCTGGCCAACATGGCGAAACCCTATCTCAACTAAAAATACAAAAATTAGCCGGGCGTGGTGGCGGGCACCTGTAATCCCAGCTACTCGTGAGGCTGAGCCAGGAGAATCTTACTTGATTCTTTTGGGTTGCAGGGAACTGGGAAACTTTTTTGGGGGGAGCAGAGAAATGGAAGCTCCCAGGCAATTTTGTTCTCTGATACTTCATTTTATTCACCTTTGGAGTTGAATCCTGGGCTTTCTGTAAAATCAATGTACATTTCAAGATGGGAAACTATTTTTAAGTTTTACTAGTGGAATTGCATTTAGTCACCAGCCAGATATAGGAGCTTTGAAATAAAATATGAATTCTGAATAACAAGAGGAGTGGGGAAAATATATTTATTTTATTGGAACCTGGGGGGTGGAGGTTGCAGTGAGGCTAGATCGTGCCACTTCACTCCAGCCTGGGTGAAAGAGCAAGACTCTGTCTCAAAAAGAAAAAAAAAAAAAAAAAAAAACAAGAGGAAAACGTCCATAAATCCCGGGTGTTATGGTGTGAATATGTCCCCTCTGAAATCCAGGTGTTGCCAATGTGATGGTATTAGGAGGGGGCCCTTAGGGGGTGACTAAGCCATGAGGGCCCCTGCCTCATGAACAGGATTAAGGCCCTTATACAGGAGGCTTCTGTAGGGCTGTTGGCCCCACAGGGTCGTGGGGTGTCCCTTATGCTGTGTTGAGGCACAGGATCAGAGAAGAGACAGGAGACTGAAGAACTCGAGAAGAGCAGCTGGACTCGGGGGGCCATGCCACCTATGATCGGAGACAGGTGAGGTCCCGAACGTCCAGAAGTGTCTGTATTTATTAGGTACAAGGCAGGGAGGTAGGATCATGAGTGAGGTCATCTATAGGCTTAGTGATAGGGCATACATAATCACGTCAATAGCAGGTGAGGGGGCCACCCCATTATGTCGCCTAGGAAGAGAGGTGGGCCATAAGCAGTAGGGGGCCACGCGCAGTAGGGGGCTATGCCATGCACAGTAGTGGAGGATCATGTACAGAAAAGGAGTCCACCCCCATTAGGTCACTGAGGCAAGGAGGTGGGCTGTGTGCAACAGGTGTTGTGCACAACACTTCTTATCTGGGGGCTGGAGACTTCAAAGGATTTCTAATAGAAGGATACTGTAAGCCAACGCAGTGGGAGCTGACAGACTTGTGCTCTTCTCTAAGATATTTACGGGAGGATGATTTGAGCTAGCACAGAAGTGAGAAAAGGCTGACAGGGGGTACACCTGCCGTGACTGGTCACACCAGAGGGGTTCTTCTCCCTTGGTTATTTGCGGGATCTCAGGCCTGAGGCCTCCTTTCCATAGGAACTGGATGCAAGCTACTACAACTCCTTTATCAGGAGGACAGGCTCTTGCTCCAAGCCTGCCATATAGCGTTACAGCGTATGCCCTTTCAGGCAGGGAGGCCAACGCCTGGGTCTTTGGTTCTTGTCCTAGTCTGGCTGTTTTCCCATGTACTGCTTCCGCTTTGTGACTGCTCTAGGCATTCCTCCTACTACAAACTACCATCTAGTTATATGGAAGGATTATATAAATCAGCGCTAAATGTGTCGGTACAGCTCTGACTACAATACCTATATGATTATATAGAATACCTATGTGATTATATAGACTATATTTATATGACTACATAGAAAGATTATATGGAACTAAGTATGCTAGATATAAGTACTAAGTATGTTTATATAAGCTAGATATATTATGCAGTAAGTTACTATATGATTATATAGAAAGATTATATAAAGGAAATAGCTGAGCAATTAATAACACTATAAACTAAGATAGTCTTCAGGCACTAATTGTGCCTGAGGTTTGCACAGCTCTCTTTCCTTGGTGCTGCTCACGTCTGGGGTTACCTACAGGCTTCATTCAGGCATTGGCTCACTTGCCTTTCCCCCATCCACGATGTGAGGATGCAGCGCTCCTCCCCTGTGAAGGGTGCAGCAGCAAGGCACCACCTTGGAAGCAGAGAGTGGCCCTCACCAGACACCGAATCTGCCAGTGTCTTGATCTCTGACGACCCACCCCTTGGTGCTGTGACAGTAAATTTCTATCGTTTATGAATCACCCAGTCTGTGGTATTTTATTATAGGACGTATGGACTAAGATACTGAGTTACAGCCAGGTGCAGTGACTCATGCCTGCAATCCCAGCACTCTGGGAGGCTGAGGCAGGTGGATCACCTGAGGTCAGGGGTTTGAGACCAGCCTGATCAACATGGAGAAACCCTGTCTCCACTAAAAATTCAAAATTAGCTGGGTGTGGTGGTTTGCACCTGTAATCCCAGCTGCTTGGGAGGGTGAGGTAGGAGAATCTCTTCGACCTGGGAGGTGGGGGTTGCAGTGAGCCCAGATCTCGCCACTGCACTCCAGTCTGGGCAACAGAGTAAGACTCCATCACCCACCCCCGAAAAAAAAGGCAAGGTGCCGTGGCTCATGCCTGTAATCCCAGCACTTTGGGAGGCTGAGGCGGGTGGATCACCTGAGGTTAGGAGTTTGAGACCAGCCTGACCAACACAGAGAAACTCCATCTCCACTAAAAATACAAAATTAGCTGGGCATGGTGGTGTGTACCTGTAATCCCAGCTACTCGGGAAGCTGAGGCAGGAGAATTGCTTGAACCCAGGAGGGGAGGTTGTGGTGAGCCGAGATTGTGCCATTGCACTCCAGCCTGGACAACAAGAGTAAAACTCCATCTC